CAACGTTCCTCTAGGTAACACAACGTTCCTCTAGGTAGCACAACGTTCCTCTAGGTAGCACAACGTTCCTCTAGGTAGCACAACGTTCCTCTAGGTAGCACAACGTTCCTCTAGGTAACACAACGTTCCTCTAGGTAGCACAACGTTCCTCTAGGAAGCACAACGTTCCTCTAGGTAGCACAACGTTCCTCTAGGAAGCACAATGTTCCTCTAGGTAGCACAACATTCCTCTAGGTAGCACAACGTTCCTCAACGAGGAGGATTAGTTAGGAATAGAGATAGAGGGACAAAGGACGGTCTCACCACAGCCAAACTATTTCCTCAATTTCTTAATTTCGCATTTGAAAATGAACCATTCATTTTCCAGGCGTTTATAAGTGTAAAGCATTATCTCTAGCTACTATGACGAGGAGGATGAGTTAGGGTAAGGTTTCAAAATGTTTTCGGAATGCCACATTTTCCATGATGAGTTTGCTCTCTGGCCTTTTCACCTGGGAGTACCCTGCCAACCCTGCCTGGCCAATATATCTCATTGTCATTCCAGATCCGGACCTGACATTTCACACATTCTTTCCAAATTGGTTCCAAATTGGTTCATATTTGACCCTGAGCTTCCGACAGAGCTTAAAGTTAAAATGTCACAGTGATGCTTAGAGCTGACATTCTCATCTTCATCCAGATAACACACGCACACACAGGTTCCATGAGTTTCAAAACATCAGGCCTCTTAACGATTTGAATCAGACTGACCTTTAAATTAGTTGAATGGAACATTCACAGATTCACAAATATACAGTCCAAATCATTGAACGTGTGTGAATGAACGGAAGTTTACCCAAACCCTGTTTTTAGGCCTACGATGACGTAAATCCGGGCGTAAGGCGTTAAGATGGCGCTGCAGTGGATAGCAGCTGTCTTATGGGCTCCTGACCAATTCTGCTATTTTGTGGGGGGTTTTTACGCTGATATTAACTTTTTTTGTACATAATGTCTCCGCCATCATTTCCTATGACCGAAAACAGCTTCAGAACATCAGAACAGGTATCACTAACCTCGATTTGGACGAAAAAGTATACTTCAACGAGTCGGCAGCTCTTGACGTTCTGCTTACTCCAGACCAGGCCCTAATCCCCGGGACTCATTTACATTTACATCATTTAGCAGACGCTCTTATCCAGAGCGACTTACATTATTATTTTTTTCATACCCCCTGTGGGAATCGAACCCACAACCCTGGCGTTGCAAACGCCATGCTCTATCAACTGAGCTACATCCCTGCCGGCCTTCGAGGCAAGCAACACTGAACCATGCATGAGAGCACCAGCTGTTCCGGACGACTGTGTGATCTCGCTCTCCGTAGCTGATGTGAGTAAGACCTTTAAACAGGTTAACGTTAGCAAGGCCACTGGGCCAGACGGAAATATCAGGATGCGTACTCAGAGCATGCGCTGAACAGCTGGCAAGTGTCTTCACTGACAATTTTCTACCTATCCCTGACCTTGTCTGTAATACCAACTTGTTTCAAGCGACCGCCATAGTCCCCGTGCCCAAGAACACCAAGGTAACCCGCCTAAATGACTTTCACCCCTTAGCACTCACATCTATAGCCATGAAATGATTTGAAAGGCTGGTCATGGCTCACAATCAACACCATCATCCCAGACACCCTCGACCCAATCCATGTCCCATACGATCTCTGTTGCCCTCCACACTGCCCTCGCCCACCTTGACACTACACAACTTAAACCATGCTTTTATTAATCATCACCTGGCTCAGGAAAATTACATCGTTTTTCACCGTTTGGTGGCAGAAGGCCATTTGTCCATATCAAATGAACCATCAAATATATAAAATGAATACAACATTGCCTGAGAAAGAATGTAAAATTGAAACATAGTGGGAGTCCTATTAGGCTATTGCAGGAACAAAGGGATCTCTAAGGTTTATGACTGGGTCAATGAAATCAGGATCACAGGGATACACGCCTGCTAACTGAAATTTGGCAAAGGCTGCGGCTTGTACTGTAGCCTGCAGGGCCAAGGGCAGTCACGACACACGCATGCACGCACACATACGCACTCACACACTTACACTCAAGAAGGTCTAGAGAGGGCAGTCACGGCTGGCAATGTCCACATAAAAAAATCTCAATCACTTTTATGCGATTTGGGCCAGCGATAGATGAACCCTAGAAATCCGTTACAGCCACAATTGTTTCTTCAGTGATGAAAATCAATGTCCTTTGTTTGTGTTGCTCTCTCTCTTCTCAGAGAAGAGAACAATCTATTGAGGCACCAACACTTCTCCGGGCTCTTTTGTTGAAGCAGAATTATGCGAGACCTGCGTTAGACAGGTATTGGTTTTGAAGCAGAGTTATGTGAGACATGCGTTAAACAGGTATTGGTTTTGAAGCAGAGTTTTGCGAGACCTGCGTTAGACAGGTATTGGTTTTGAAGCTCAGATATGTGAGACGTGCATTAGACAGGTATTCGTTTTGAAGCAGAGTTATGTGAGACATGCGTTAAACAGGTATTGGTTTTGAAGCAGAGTTATGCGAGACGTGCGAGCCTGTGTGTCAGTGATTTGTTTTTGATTGTCCATCAGCCTGGGATGATAACCCTGAATCAAGGCTGCTGGCAGAGGAAGAATAATAATTAGTCCTGTTGTTGTTATTAAAAATGTCAGATACACAGACTGAGAGGGTGACAGGATATTGAGACAACAGCTAGGAGGAGGAGGGATGCCTGGATAACAGACATCTCTAAAATGTTTTATTTTGTCAACGTCTGCTTGGCGCAGTCATCTGAATACGCAAAAAACACTCAACTAAAAATAGATAAAGGACGAAATAAAAAAATGTGTTTCTCCAAAACACAAGACTTGAAAGTCTGTCTACTGACAAGTCTTGCATGTGGGGAAGAAAGCTGGTATTGGACTCAGATTGATCTTTAAAGAAGGGCCATGTGGGGTGTTTTATGAGAAACTGATGGAGTTCCCAAATGACACCCTATTCCCTATATAGTGCACTACTTCTGCAAAGAACCCTATGGGTCCAGGTCAAAAGGAGTGCACTATAGAGGGAACAGGGTGCCGTTTGGAAGGCAGATGAAAGTGGAAGAAAATGAGTTTGTATTCATCATGGGGGATCATATACATACACATATTTCCATGGGGATAAAGTGGATTGGAATAAATGTGTTTTATCATTCAGAAAACTCTCCCTTTTGGATTGTATTACCCTTTGTAATAACTACATTTCCAAAAGTATGTGGACACCTACTTGTCGAACATCTCATTCCAAAATTATGGCCATTAATATGGATTTGGTCCCCCCCTTTGCTGCTATAACAGCCTCCACTCTTATGGGAAGACTTTCCACTAGATGTTGGAACATTGCTGCGGGGACTTGCTTCCATTCAGTCACAAGAGCATTAGTGAGGTCGGGCACTGATGTTGGGCGATTAGGTCTGGCTCGCAGTCGGCGTTCCAATTAATCCCGAAGGTGTTCGATGGGGTTGAGGTCAGGGCTCTGTGCAGGCCAGTCAAGTTCTTAGACACTGATCTCGTCCAACGATTTCTGTATGGACCTCGCTTTGTGCACGGGGGCATTGTCATGAAACAGGAAAGGGCCTTCCCCAAACTGCCACAAAGTTGGAAGCGTAGAATTGTCTAGAATGTCATTGTATGCTGTAGCGTTAAGATATCCCTTCACTGGAACTAAGGGGCCTAGCCCTAACCATGAAAAACAGCCCCAGACCATTATTCCTCCTCCACCAAACTTTACAGTTGGCACTATGCATTCGGGCAGGTAGCGTTCTGCTGGCATCCACCAAACCCAGATTTGTCCGTCAGACTGCCAGATGGTGAAGCGTGATTCATCACACCAGAGAACGCGTTTCCACTGCTCTAGTGTCCAATGGCGGCGAGCTTTACACCACTCCAGCCGTCGCTTGGCATTGCACATGGTGATCTTATCCTAGTGTGCGGCTGCTCGGCCATGGAAACCCATTTCATGAAGCTCCCGACGAACAATTCTTGTGCTGACGTTGCTTCTAAAGGCAGTTTGGAACTTGGTGGTGAGTGTTGCAACCGAGGACAGATTATTTTTACGCACTATGCGCTTCAGCACTCGGCAGTCCCGCTCTGTGAGCTTGTGTGGCCTACCACTTTGCGGCGGAGCCGTTGTTGCTCCTAGACATTTCCACTTCACACTAACAGCACTTACAGTTGACCGGTGCAGCTCTAGCAGGGCAGCAATTTGACAAACTGACTTGTTGGCAAGGTGGCATCCTATGACGGTGCCACGTTGAAAGTTACTGAGCTCTTCAGTACTGGCCATTCTACAGGCCATTCTACGGCACTACGGCCTTTTTCTGAAATGTTTTATGAGTTGGAGAACACATTGGGAGGGATCTTAGACCATTCCTCTATACAGAATCCTTCCAGATCCTTGATATCCTTCATCTTTGCTTTTGGAGCCACCACCATATTTTACAGTAGGTATGGAGTTTTACAGTGGGTATGGGGTTTTACAGTAGGCATGGTATTTTACAGTAGGCATGGGGTTTTACAGTAGGTACAGGGTTTTACAGTAGGTACAGGGTTTTACAGTAGGTATGGGGTTTTACAGTAGGTATGGGGTTTTACAGTAGGCATGGGGTTTTACAGTAGGTATGGCGTTTTACAGTAGGTATGCTCATACATTCCCATTTTGATGCCAAACCCACCACTGGTGTGCATGCACAAAGAGCTCTATTTTCATGTCATCCAACAAATGTAAACGCCTGGAGTTTGCTAAACAGCATTGGCACTTAGCTTGGAACCGGTGCTTTGGTCAGCTGACATGAAAATATAACTCTTTGGCTAGGCACACCGGTGATGGGTTTGACGTCAAATTGGGTCTAAATCATTTGGGACCCCACTGCACAGAGATTGTGATCTTACGTCACAGATCATCCTTTTTCTTTCCAAATGCAATTTTCTGGATGTTCCTGGAAGCCTATTGGTATTCCGTCCGTAATCTCAGCAAGACGAGAAAACACAAATGTTTGTCAGGACCTGTTAATCCTCAAACAGGAGATATAGACACACACACACACACACACAGACAGGTACTTTTTCACTCTGAGATAATCATTCTCACAGTGTGTCCCACAGGTCTCATGCTCATATTATGTGAGAAAAGGCATCTGCTCTACAGTCAATATCCAGAAACATTTGACAATGATTTGACCGGCTGGCACCAATTATGTATAGATGCTTGTTCAAATTGAAAACCCTCACTATACTATAAAGAAGCAGAAATGACAACTAGCTGTCATTTTTCCAGACTTTGTTTTGCAGTACGATAAAGGAAACAAACATTTTGTTTATTTTCTGGCTTCAGAGAGGAGGCTACATCTGGTGCTAAAAAGACATGCTGCCATATCTAAGACAAGAGTGAGCGTCTATCACCAAGTCTACTTCAATTATTTATATCTACACTAGGATACATACTGTCTGGCACACACACACACACACACACACACGCACACACACGCACACGCACGCACACGCACACACACGCACACACACGCACACACACGCACGCACACGCACGCACACGCACGCACACACGCACACACACGCACACACACGCACACACACGCACACACACGCACACACACACACACACACACACGCACACACACACTACATACTCGGTGACATTTCAAACTCCAACAGAGAGGCAGAGAGAATGACTTGTTGAGCTTTTGACATTAAACTCATGGTGTCTTTAAGTCGTTCATCAAACTCCTGCTGACTTTTTTGAGGAAATAAAGTTGATAAGGACTGATTACCATGGTGTTTGTTTATTTTCAGATTCCTCTAAAGGGATTTCTGAGTCGTTTGTGGCTTGTGCTTATGTTTCCGTGTGTGTGAGCATGAGTGTGAGTGTGGGTTTTTGTGCGTATAGTGTGTGTGTGTGTGTGTTTAGGGATAAGAGATTAAAACACAATATGGCGTGAGGAGCAGGGGAATAGACAGTTCCATTCTTCAAAGGACACAGCAGAAATCAACTACTCTGTTGCTATGGCAGAGTAAGGTAAAACACACAAACAGTCAACATCCACACATCCAAATGCAAACCAACATTGAGGAAGTGCAGTTAACCCCAAACATTTGTAGTTGTATTTATTAAGGATCCCCATTAGCTCCTGGGGTCCAGCAACATTATATACAATTACAAATATTACATGACATTACATTGCATAACATTTTTCACAAAACATTAAGTGTGTGCCCTCAGGCCACTACTCTACTATCACATATCTACAATACAAAATCTATATGTGTCTTATCATGTGTATGTGTGTATGTGTGTCTGTGCCTGTGTGTGTGTCTCTTCACAGTCCCCGCTGTTCCATAAGGTGTATTTGTATCTGTTTTTTAAATCTGATTCTACTGCTTGCATCAGTTACCTGATGTGGAATAGAGTTCCATGTAGTCATGGCTCTATTTAGTACAGAAAACCTTCCATAGTCTGCTCTGGACTTGGGGACTATGAAGAGACCTCTGGTGGCATGTCTTGTGGGTTACTCCAAGCAATTCTATCACCTCAACTTGCTCAATTTCCACTTTATTCATTACAAGATTTAGTTCAAATCAAATCAAATTGTATTGGCCACATGCGCCGAATACAACAGGTGCAGACATTACAGTGAAATGCTTACTTACAGCCCTTAACCAACAGTGCATTTATTTTTATTAAAAAAGTAAAATAAAACAACAAAAAAGTGTTGAGAAAAAAAGAGCAGAAGTAAAATAAAATAACAGTAGGGAGGCTATATATGCAGGGGGGTACCGGTGCAGAGTCAATGTGCGGGGGCACCGGCTAGTTGAGGTAGTTGAAGTAATATGTACATGTGGGTAGAGTTAAAGTGACTATGCATAAATAATGAACAGAGTAGCAGCAGCGTAAAAAGGATGGGGTGGGGGTGGGGGTGGGGGGTGGGGGGGCAGTGCAAATAGTCCGGGTAGACATGATTAGCTGTTCAGGAGTCTTATGGCTTGGGGGTAGAAGCTGTTGAGAAGTCTTTTGGACCTAGACTTGGCACTCCGGTACCGCTTGCCGTGCAGTAGCAGAGAGAACAGTGTATGACTAGGGTGGCTGGAGTCTTTGACAATTTTGAGGGCCTTCCTCTGACACCGCCTGGTATAGAGGTCCTGGATGGCAGGAAGCTTGGCCCCAGTGATGTACTGGGCCGTATGCACTACCCTCTGTAGTGCCTTGCGGTCGGAGGCCAAGCAGTTGCCATACCAGGCGGTGATGCAACCAGTCAGGATGCTCTCGATGGTGCAGCTGTATAATTTCTTGAGGATCTGAGGACCCATGCCAAATCTTTTCAGTCTCCTGAGGGGGAATAGGCTTTGTTGTGCCCTCTTCACGACTGTCTTGGTGTGTTTGTACCATGATAGTTTGTTAGTGATGTGGACACCAAGGAACTTGAAGCTCTCAACCTGTTCCACTACAGCCCCGTCGATGAGAATTGGGGCGTGCTCAGTCCTCTTTTTTTTAGTGTAGTCCACAATCATCTCCTTTGTCTTGGTCACGTTGAGGGAGAGGTTGTTATCCTGGCACCACACGGCCAGGTCCAGGTCCACATTACCTCCTCCCTATGGGCTGTCTCATCGTTGTCGGTGATCAGGCCTACCACTGTTGTGTCGTCTGCAAACTTAATGATGGTGTTGGAGTCGTGCCTGGCCATCTGGTCTGCTTGAAACATGTTGGTATTACAGACTCAGTCAGGGACATGTTATGTCAGTGAAGACACTTGCCAGTTGGTCAGCACATGCTCGGAGTACACATCCTGGTAATCTGTCTGGCCCTGCGGCCTTGTGAATGTTGACCTGCTTAAAAGTCTTACTCACATCGGCTACGGAGAGCGTGATCACATAGTCATCCGGAACAGCTGGTGCTCTCATGCATGCTTCAGTGTTGCTTGCCTCGAAGCGAGCATAGAAGTGGTTTAGCTCGTCTGGTAGGCTTGTGTCACTGGGAAGCTCGCGGCTGTGCTTCCCTTTGTAGTCTGTAATAGTTTTCAAGCCCTGCCTCATCCGACGAGCGTCAGAGCCGGTGTAGTACGATTCAATCTTAGTCCTGTATTGACTCTTTGCCTGTTTGATGGTTCGTCTGAGGGCATAGCGGGATTTCTTATAAGCGTCCGGGTTAGAGTCCCGCTCCTTGAAAGCGGCAGCTCTACCCTTTAGTTCAATGCGGATGTTTCCTGTAATCCATGGCTTCTGGTTGGGGTATGTACGTACGGTCACTCTGGGGACGACATCATCGATGCACTTACTGATGAAGCCAGTGACTGATGTGGTGTACTCCTCAATGCTATCTGAAGGATCCCGGAACATGTTCCAGTCTGTGCTAGCAAAACAGTCCTGTAGCTTAGCATCTGCGTCATCTGACCACTTTTTTATTAACCAAGGTTTAGGTGAATGATTTGTCCCAAATACAATGCTTTTAGTTTTTGAAATATTTATGGCTAACACATTTCTTGCCACCCATTCTGAAACTGACTACAGCTCTTTGTTAAGTGTAGCAGTGATTTCACTTGCTGCAGTAGCTGACGTGTACAGTGTTGAGTCATCCATATACAAAGACACACTGGCTTTACTCAAAGCCAGTGGCGTGTCATTAGTAAAGATTGTAAAAAGTAAGGAAACTAGACAGCTGCTCTGGGAATGCCTGATTCTACCTGGATTATGTTGGAGAGACTTCCATTAAAGAACACCCTCTGTGTTCTGTTAGACAGGTGACTCTACATTTTTTGCCAATCGGTTGTGCAGCCAGACTTATTTGCCATTGCTTTTGCCTAATCCCTCTCAACCGTACAATTTTTCAATTCCTTATCAATCCAAGGGGATTTAACAGTTTTCACAGTGCTCATCAGTAACTGGAATAAGCAATTTCATAAATGTGTCAAGTGCAGTGTATTGTTGCTCCACATTACACACCACAGACCAGCAAATATTCTTTACATCATCAACATAGGAATCATTACAAAACTTATTGATCTCATGACCTCTTATACGCTATATTAGGCCCAGCCTTTAGAACTTAGTTTTTTCCTAGGTATGGCTACCATATTGTGATCACTACATCCGATGGATTTGGACACTACTTTAAAGTAGATTTCTGCAGTATTAGTAAAGATGTGATCAATACATGTGGATGATTTCATTCCTGTACTGTTTGTAAAAACCCTGGTATGTTGACTTATAACCTGAACCAGGTTGCAGGCACTGGTTATAGTTTGAAGCTTTTTCTTGAGTGGGCAGCTTGATGAAAGCCAGTCAGTATTTAAATCACCCAGAAAATATACCTCTCTGTTGATATCACATACATTATCAAGCATTTCACACATATATATCCAGATACTGACTGTTAGCACTTGGTGGTCTATAGCAACTTCCCACAAGAATGGGCTTTAGGTGAGGCAGGTGAACCTTCAACCATATTACTTCAACAGTATTTAAACATGAGATCCTCTCTTAACTTTACAGGAATGTGTCTCTGAATATAGACTGCAACACCACCCCTGTTGGCATTGCTGTCTTTTCTGTAGATGTTATAACCTTGTATTGCTACCACTGGAACAGCTGGTGCTCTCATGCATGCTTCAGTGTTGCTTGCCTCGAAGCGAGCATAGAAGTGGTTTAGCTCGTCTGGTAGGCTTGTGTCACTGGGAAGCTCGCGGCTGTGCTTCCCTTTGTAGTCTGTAATAGTTTTCAAGCCCTGCCACATCCGACGAGCGTCAGAGCCGGTGTAGTACGATTCAATCTTAGTCCTGGATTGACTCTTTGCCTGTTTGATGGTTCGTCTGAGGGCATAGCGGGATTTCTTATAAGCGTCCGGGTTAGAGTCCCGCTCCTTGAAAGCGGCACCTCTACCCTTTAGTTCAATGCGGATGTTTCCTGTAATCCATGGCTTCTGGTTGGGGTATGTACGTACGGTCACTGTGGGGACGACATCATCGATGCACTTACTGATGAAGCCAGTGACTGATGTGGTGTACTCCTCAATGCTATCTGAAGGATCCCGGAACATGTTCCAGTCTGTGCTAGCAAAACAGTCCTGTAGCTTAGCATCTGCGTCATCTGACCACTTTTTTATTAACCGAGGTTTAGGTGAATGATTTGTCCCAAATACAATGCTTTTAGTTTTTGAAATATTTATGGCTAACACATTTCTTGCCACCCATTCTGAAACTGACTACAGCTCTTTGTTAAGTGTAGCAGTGATTTCACTTGCTGTAGTAGCTGACGTGTACAGTGTTGAGTCATCCGTATACAAAGACACACTGGCTTTACTCAAAGCCAGTGGCGTGTCATAAGTAAAGATTGGAAAAAGTAAGGAAACTAGACAGCTGCTCTGGGAATGCCTGATTCTACCTGGATTATGTTGGAGAGACTTCCATTAAAGAACACCCTCTGTGTTCTGTTAGACAGGTAACTCTATATCTTTTGCCAATCGGTTGTGCAGCCAGACTTATTTGCCATTGCTTTTGCCTAATCACTCTCAACCGTACAATTTTTCAATTCCTTATCAATCCAAGGGGATTTAACAGTTTTCACAGTCCTTTTCTTCATGGGTTTATGCTCATCAGTAACTGGAATAAGCAATTTCATAAATGTGTCAAGTGCAGTGTATGGTTGCTCCACATTACACACCACAGACCAGCAAATATTCTTTACATCATCAACATAGGAATCACTACAAAACGTATTGATCTCATGACCTCTTATACGCTATATTAGGCCCAGCCTTTAGAACTTAGTTTTTTCCTAGGTATGGCTACCATATTGTGATCACTACATCCGATGGATTTGGACACTACTTTAAAGTAGATTTCTGCAGTATTAGTAAAGATGTGATTAATACATGTGGATGATTTCATTCCTGTACTGTTTGTAAAAACCCTGGTATGTTGACTTATAACCTGAACCAGGTTGCAGGCACTGGTTATAGTTTGAAGCTTTTTCTTGAGTGGGCAGCTTGATGAAAGCCAGTCAATATTTAAATCACCCAGAAAATATACCTCTCTGTTGATATCACATACATTATCAAGCATTTCACACATATTATCCAGATACTGACTGTTAGCACTTGGTGGTCTATAGCAACTTCCCACAAGAATGGGCTTTAGGCGAGGCAGGTGAACCTTCAGCCATATTACTTCAACAGTATTTAAACATGAGATCCTCTCTTAGCTTTACAGGAATGTGTCTCTGAATATAGACTGCAACACCACCCCTGTTGGCATTGCTGTCTTTTCTGTAGATGTTATAACCTTGTATTGCTACCACTGTATCATCAAAGGTATTATTCTAAGTGAGTTTCAGAGATAGTCAGAATATGAATGTCATCTGTTACTTGCAAAGTTATTGATTTCATGAATGTCTTAGTGTGGGCTATTTTTTAGCACTTTTCTGGGATGCTTGATTGTTTTTATTGCTTTACTGGGAAGCTTATCAGAAGTAGACATGACAATATGATTTATGTTTGAGCTCATTGTGCAGGGTGAGCTGCACACAGTGGAATTCCTACTAGGGCACACCGCCTCAGTGCTATCAGTATAACTCTGGTTCATAGGCACATGGTTACTGCACACAATAGCTGTAGGATCGACAGAGGCATTCAGGGGAGTTAGAATGACACAGATTAGGTTACTTACATTGTGACTTCCAACGCCCCTGGGATAATGTATATTTGCTGCAGCATTACGAACAACTCAGCGACACAATGGTATGGATTATCTGACTAGGGCTTGGGTCATTGAAAAGTCATTGTCTCAACCCAACCTTGATGCGTGGACAGAGTCCAGGACAGACTCCGTCATTCCTGTAGAGCATCTTCCATTTCCAGAAGGTGTAAAAAGGAATTCCAACAGAGCTACAGTAATAGTTTAGTGTGTAATGTCAGTAGCCTGCTGAATATTTCACACCCGCGGCCGAACGATGGTGAAATAATTGGCCGCTTTTTGGAATCTTTCAGAGCTAGAATCAGTTCTATTAAAATAAATTTTCAGCAGTTCCGAGCTAGCCCTCCTAATGCAGCCTTGTAATGTCCCGTGTTCATGCTCCAGGATAGCACAGGGTTTTTTCCTCCAGGAACTGAGATGTTTCTTACCATAGAGCTGCTGGTGACGACAGCTGGTGCAATGGCTGAGGAGTTCCGGCCATTATTTCACCTTGAGTGGTTTCGCAAACCCCTCGAGGTCCGAAGGGTGGTGGGGCCCGATTGATCTGAGCCAGCTGTAGTATCCATCGTGGATGATGAATGGGCCGGAGTCTCAGACAGCCTCACGGTCCGATGAGTTGGACCTCTGAGGATCTGAACCTGAGGTACAAGCCACCGGAGAGAGGGAGACAGAACAGAGGATGAAGGTGCAGGTACCATACCTCCGGATCCAATCTTGAATTGGAAGCCCCCAGGGAAGAAGGCGCTGGAACCTCTGGATGGCAAAGCTGTTTCTAGTCTGTGTCTGATCCGGGTTTCCCATCACCAAGGAGACCCCCATCACCAAGGAGACCCCTATTGCCTGAGGCTGCTGCTTTCTATTTCCACGGCGAGTGACATGCCTCCATGGCAGTTTACGTGAGCCGGTCCCCGCCCTGGCGACGCAACGCGGTCGGGTGCGCACTGAGGACAGTCCGACCCGGTTGACAGTCGCGCAGGGGGCCCCGTGCCCCCCCTGAAGGGGGCATGACGCAGCGGGTACTAAGTCCTCGGCCCCGGGAAGGGTAGGATCGAGAACAGGAACATCCTGAAGCAACCGACTAACTCCATTCTACAGGAAAGGGGGACACCCCTTAGTGGAAAGATCCTTGCAGAGCACCAGCCAGTCGGCTGTGGAAAGCAGAGACGGCGACGACACTTCCACCAGGCCAGAGCGGCGTCCGGCTACAGGGGTAAGAAGAGAAAGAATAAGTAGGCTGGCTTAGATTCCCCAGTAGCTTGTGTAAGTTCGCTACTTGTTTTGCTAAGAGTAGTCTCTTTGCCCCTTTAATGCAAATGAGGGGGAGGATTATTCAAGATACTGTTTGAAGAGGGTTTCAGATGTTTTTGGAAGATCGGCAGGGACTCTGCTGTCCTAGCTTCAGGGGAAAGCTGGTTCCACCATTGGGGTGCCAGGACAGGGAAGAGCTTGGACTGGGCTGAGCGGGAGCTGCCCTCACGTAGGGATGGGAGGGCCAAGAGACCTGAGGTGGCAAAATGGAGTGCTCGGGTTGGGGTGTAGGGTTTGAGTGTAGACTTAAGGAAGGGAGGGGCAGTTCCTCTTGCTGTTCCGTAGGTAAGCACCATGGCCTTGCAGTAGATGTGAGCTTCAACTGGAAGCCATTGGAGTGTGTGGAGGAGTGGGGTGACATCTTGGGAAGGTTGAAACCAGGCAGGCTGCAGCGTTCTGGATAAGTTGCAGGGTTTGATGGAACAAGTGGGGAGCCCAGCCAACAGTGAGTTGCAGTAGTCCAGACAGGAAAGGACAAGTGCCTGGATTAGGACCTGCGCCGCTCTTGTGTGAGGTAGGGTTGTACTCTATGGATGTTGTAGAGCATGAACCTGCAGGAGCGGGTCACTGCTTTGATGTTTGCAGAGAACGACATGCTGTTGTCCAAGGTCACGCCAAGGTTCTTTGCACTCTGGGAGGGCGACACTGTGGAGTTGTCTACTGTGCTGGAGAGATCTTTGAGCAGGCAGGCCTTCCCCTGGAGGAAGAGCAGTTCCTTCTTGTCGAGGTTGAGCTTGAGGTGGGGGCCGACATCCAAGTTGAGATATCTGCCAGGCACGCAGAGATGCATGTCGCCACCTGGGTGTCAGAAGGGGTTAAGGATAAAAGTAGTTAAGTGTCATCCGCATAGCAATGATAGGAGAGGCCATGTGAGGATATGATGGAGCCGAGTGACTTGGTGTATAGAGAGAAGAGGAGAGGGCCTAGAACCGAGCCCTGGGGAACTCCGGTAGTGAGAGTATGTGGTGCAGACACAGATCCTCTCCACGTCACCTGGTAGGAGCGACCTGCCAGGCAGGATGCAATCCAAGAATGTGCAGAGCCTGAGATGCCCAGCCCTGAGAGGGTGGAGAGGAGGATCTGATGGTTCACTGTGTCGAAGGCAGCGGATCGATCTAGGAGGATGAGAATAGAGGAGAGAGTCAGCGTTGCCAGTGCGGAGAGCCTCTGTAACAAAGAGAAGAGCAGTCTCGGTTGAGTGACCCATCTTGAAGCCTGACTGGTTAGGGTCAAGAAGATAGTTCTCCGGAAGTTTAGTTTTCCTCAATTTTTGCTCAGCTGCCCGCAGCCCTGTTCTGTAAGGTCGCAATGAATCACTCAGCCACAGAGCAGGAGGGGAGGGCCTATCCGGTTGGGAGGAAAAGGGACAGTGCGAGTCACAGGATGCAGAAAGGGAGGAGAGTAGGATCGAAGAGGAAGAATCAGGAGAGAGAAGGATTTAGCAGAAGGGAGAGATGATAGGATAGAAGAGTAGAGAGTAGTGGGAGAGAGAGAGCGAATATTGTGACGGCGCATGACCATCTGAGTAGGGGCTGAGTGGTTAGGGTTGGAGGAAAGGGAGACAGAAAAGGAAACAAAGTAGTTATCAGAGACCTGGAGGGGGGTTGCAGTGAGATTAGTAGGCGAACAGCCTCTAGTAAAGATGAGGTCAAGCGTATTGCCTGCATTGTGAGTTGGAGGGGACTGGGAAAGGGTGAGGTCAAAATAGGCAAGGAGGTGAAAGAGAGAGTTGGAAAGAAATTAATTGAAGGCAGACGTCGGGAGGTTGAAGTCGCCAAGTACGAAGAGCGATGAGCCATCGTCAGGAAATTAACTTATCAAGGTTTTCAAGCTCATTGAGGATCTCTACAAAGGCACCTTTTGGGCAACAGATGACCATAATATTAAGCTTGAGTGGACAAGTGACAGTGACAGCATGAATTCAAATGAGGAGAAGGACAGGTAAGAGAGGGAGAAAAGAGAAAATCTCCATTTAGGAGAACTGAGTAGACCTGTGCCACCACCGCGACTACAAGATGCTCTGATATGAACTCAACGTTCTATACCGCAGATCGGCAGTTCCAAACGCTGCCAGAGACCCAGAATTCCACATGGGTTGTGCGCGCAGGGTACACTAAATTAGAAGGGGTTGCAGCCAAGGGGTGGGTAGTGTCTGTAAAGCCTAAAGAGAGAGGAGTGAACAGGTATAGAAAACACACACATAGTTGACAAAGCTACAAAAGAGCAAAATGAGATAATCAGAAAATAACTAGGTAAGATACTCAAGTGAAAGAGTGGTGTGGAGCCTTCCTCTCTTTCCTTCCTCGAACAACTCGGCTGTACCGCTGACACGGCTGCCACTGAGAAATCAGAGGAGACTGAAGAACAAACACTAATTGCTAAGGAGAGGAGAAACCACTCCCCCTCCAATACAGACACTGATTACCAAAACAAGTCACAAATTGCCCTGCCCCTTGTTGATGTGTCAACAACTATATGCAAATGATGAGCAGTCATCAGTTCACACACCAAGTAGGCTCCTGGGAAGACAGGCAGCGCTTAAAGTAGATGGCCCTAGCTAGCAGAAATACAGTACGAGACAACAACAGATTAAGACAAAAAATGTATAAATACTAAATAAATCAAATGTACATGTAGACATACACACAAACAGAGATATGTACACACACACAAACACATACACAGCAACTAATAAAACATTGACAACCGAGGACCTTTTCACTTCTTGATCTCAGTCTCCGTATACTTCCCGTTCCAGGGAGTGTTGTGTGTGTGAGTGTGTGAGTGTGTGTGTGTGTGTGTGTGTGTGTGTGTGTGCGCGCGCGTGTGCGTGTGCGTGCGTGTGCGTGCTTGCTTATAATTCCATGGCGTCACAGGGAGTAGGGGTGAGGTTGGGTTCAGGCTGTATCATCCAGAGCTCTCTTAGTATCAGGAACAAACACACAAACACACAAACCACGTCAGGAACCAATAAAGAGTAGCTAGCTGGGCTGTCTGTACCATGACTCCTCTCCTTCTAGTTGGGCTGTCAGACCCTACTGTACCATGACTCCTCTCCTTCTAGTTGGGCTGTCAGACCCTACTGTACCATGACTCCTCTCCTTCTAGTTGGGCTGTCAGACCCTACTGTACCATGACTCCTCTCCTTCTAGTTGGGCTGTCAGACCCTACTGTACCATGACTCCTCTCCTCTCCTTCTAGTTGGGCTGTCAGACCCTACTGTACCATGACTCCTCTCCTTCTAGTTGGGCTGTCAGACCCTACTGTACCATGACTCCTCTCCTTCTAGTTGGGCTGTCAGACCCTACTGTACCATGACTCCTCTCCTTCTAGCTGGGCTGTCAGACCCTACTGTACCATGACTCCTCTCCTTCTAGTTGGGCTGTCAGACCCTACTGTACCATGACTCCTCTCCTCTCCTTCTAGCTGGGCTGTCAGACCCTACTGTACCATGACTCCTCTCCTTCTAGTTGGGCTGTCAGACCCTACTGTACCATGACTCCTCTCCTTCTAGTTGGGCTGTCAGACCCTACTGTACCATGACTCCTCTCCTCTCCTTCTAGTTGGGCTGTCAGACCCTACTGTACCATGACTCCTCTCCTTCTAGTTGGGCTGTCAGACCCTACTGTACCATGACTCCTCTCCTTCTAGTTGGGCTGTCAGACCCTACTGTACCATGACTCCTCTCCTTCTAGCTGGGCTGTCAGACCCTACTGTACCATGACTCCTCTCCTTTTAGTTGGGCTGTCAGACCCTACTGTACCATGACTCCTCTCCTCTCCTTCTAGTTGGGCTGTCAGACCCTACTGTACCATGACTCCTCTCCTCTCCTTCTAGTTGGGCTGTCAGACCCTACTGTACCATGACTCCTCTCCTTCTAGCTGGGCTGTCAGACCCTACTGTACCATGACTCCTCTCCTTCTAGTTGGGCTGTCAGACCCTACTGTACCATGACTCCTCTCCTCTCCTTCTAGTTGGGCTGTCAGACCCTACTGTACCATGACTCCTCTCCTTCTAGTTGGGCTGTCAGACCCTACTGTACCATGACTCCTCTCCTTCTAGTTGGGCTGTCAGACCCTACTGTACCATGACTCCTCTCCTTCTAGCTGGGCTGTCAGACCCTACTGTACCATGACTCCTCTCCTTCTAGTTGGGCTGTCAGACCCTACTGTACCATGACTCCTCTCCTCTCCTTCTAGTTGGGCTGTCAGACCCTACTGTACCATGACTCCTCTCCTCTCCTTCTAGTTGGGCTGTCAGACCCTACTTTAACATGCCTCCTCTCCTCCCTACACCCAAGTACTCTGCTTCATATTTGTGTAATACGGTTGTTTTTTTAATATTTAGCTGTTGTTGTTGTACAGATGTAGGATCTTAATTTGATCACTGTTTTGTTGCTGAGAATTTTCCTGCAAGACTGGAAATGGAAACTTGTAGCGTATTTGAGTTTAAAAAAAAAGGTTTATAAAGTTTGTAATTTCCACTCTGAAAATTCAGACAATTGTTGCTAAAGGATTATTTTCTCACAGTAGCAAACTGGCTGAAATTAATATCCTACATCTGTATGACTCATGGCAGCCATCTCTTCCTCCTTCTCATAGAGATAGAAGGAGGGAGATAGATCAGATATTGTTGTTCCTTGGGTTTTGGTGCTTGCTTTCAGAGATAGAGAGAGAGAGAGAGAGAGAGAGAGGAGAGAGAGAGAGAGAGGAAGAGAGAGAGAGAGAGAGAGAGAGAGAGAGATAGAGAGAGAGAGAGAGAGAGAGAGGGAGAGAGAGAGAGAGAGAGAGAGAGAGAGAGAGAGAGAGAGAGAGAGAGAGAGAGAGAGAGAGAGTCAATCTCTCTCTCTATATATAAATAATGGTGTTCCAAAAAAGATCCAGTTGCCAGGACCACAAATACAAATTCCATCTAGACACCGTTGCCCTAGAGCACACAAAAAACGATACATACCTCGGCCTAAACATCAGCGCCACAGGTAACTTCCACAAAACTGTGAACGATCTAAGAGACAAGGCAAGAAGGGCCTTCTATGCCATCAAAAGGAACATAAAATTTGACATACCAATTAGGATCTGGCTAAAAATACTTGAGTCAGTTATAGAACCCATTGCCCTTTTTGGTTCTGAGGTCTGGGGTCCTGTGACACTCTGGCTCTATGGACTTTATAATTGAGCCAGGGTTGTTCATTTTCATGTGTTTGGGTGTATTTCATTTGGTGGTGTTGGGGATGGGTGAGTTTCATTTTGTTTGTGTCTATGGTGATTGGTCTATGACTCCCAATCGGAGGTAACGAGTGTCAGCTGTCGGCTCGTTATCTCTGATTGGGAGCCATATATATTCTGTGTGTTTTCTCCTTTGTTTTGTGGGTTATTGTTTCCGTGTTGCTGTTAGTCTGTATCAGTATTTGAACTTCACGTATCGTCATTTGTTGTTTTCTTCGTGGTTGCTTTAAATAATAAAGTCATCATGTTCACTCGCAACGCTGCGCATTGGTCCGCTCCTTTTGACGATCGTGACAGAATAACCCACCACAAAAGGACCAAGCAGCGTAACAAGCGTGTCCAGGAGCCGAGGGTCTGGACATGGGAAGAGTTATTGGACGGAAAGGATCCTTGGGCACAACCGGGAGAATATCGCCTCCCTCGTGAAGAGCTGGAGGCAGCCAAAGCCGAGAGGAGGTGGTACGAGGAGGCAGCGCGAAGGCGAGGCTGGAAGCCCGTGGAAGAGAGGCAACCCCAAGAAATTTTTTGGGGGGGGGCACATGGCTTGGGCAGCTGGGCAGCAGGAGGCTGCCACAGGGAGAAAAGGAGAGAAGGCTAACGGAGTACGGGAGCCATTGGCGAGTGGAAGGAGGGAAGTTGTTGTGGCACGGCATGAGAGACTGAAGTGTGTTACCAGTCCGGTCCGGCCCGTTCCTGATCCGCAGTTAAGGCCATTGGTGTGTGTTCCCGGTATGGACCGGCCTGTTCCTACTCCACGCACCAGGTCCACGATGTGCGTCGCCAGCCGGCCAGAGTCTGCCGTCTGCCCTAGGGCGTCTGAACTGCCCGTCTGCCAAGCGCTGCATAAGCCGCCCGTCTGTACTGAGCCTGCAAAGCCGTCCGTCTGCCATGAGCCTTCAGAGCCGTCCGCCAGATCGGAGCCGCTAGAGCCTTCCGCCAGACAGGAGCCGCTAGAGCCTGCCGCCAGACAGAATCATACACCTGCTATGGAATCAGCAGGAGCCGACGCAGCCCATACTAGACTGGAAGCTCGGGTTCGGGACCAGAAAGAGCAGCTTCTGCAGATGGGAGCCGCCCTGCTGGAGGTGATGACTGCAATCCGAGGCTGGGGTTCGCCTCCACCGCCAGCCTCCCAGCCAGCACCATCAGCCAGCCATGAGCAGCCAGATCTGTCAACCAGCCATGAGCAGCCAGACCCGTCAGCCAGCCATGAGCAGCCAGATCCGTCAGCCAGCCATGAGCAGCCAGATCCGTCAGCCAGCCATGAGCAGCCAGATCCGTCAGCCAGCCATGAGCAGCCAGATCCGTCAGCCAGCCATGAGCAGCCAGACCCGTCAGCCAGCCATGAGCAGCCAGACCCGTCAGCCAGCCATGAGCAGCCAGATCCGTCAGCCAGCCATGAGCAGCTAGATCCGTCAGCCAGCCATGAGCAGCCAGAATCCGTCAGCCAGCCATGAGCAGCCAGATCCGTCAGCCCGCCATGAGCAGCCAGATCCGTCAGCCAGCCAGGAGCAGCCAGATCCGTCAAGCCAGCCATGAGCAGCCAGATCCGTCAGCCAGCCATGAGCAGCCAAGATCCGTCAGCCAGCCATGAGCAGCCAGATCCGTCAGCCAGCCATGAGCAGCCAGATCCGTCAGCCCAGCCATGAGCAGCCAGACCCGTCAGCCAGCCATGAGCAACCAGATCCGTCAGCCAGCCATGAGCAGCCAGACCCGTCAGCCAGCCATGAGCAGCCAGACCCGTCAGCCAGCCATGAGCAGCCAGATCCGTCAGCCAGCCATGAGCAGCCAGATCCGTCAGCCAGCCATGAGCAGCCAGATCCGTCAGCCAGCCATGAGCAGCCAGATCCGTCAGCCCGCCATGAGCAGCCAGATCCGTCAGCCAGCCAGGAGCAGCCAGATCCGTCAGCCAGCCATGAGCAGCCAGATCCGTCAGCCAGCCATGAGCAGCCAGATCCGTCAGCCAGCCATGAGCAGCCAGATCCGTCAGCCAGCCAGGATCCGCCAGAGCCGTCCAGCCAGGATCCGCCAGAGCCGTCCAGCCAGGATCCGCCAGAGCCGTCCAGCCAGGATCCGCCAGAGCCGTCCAGCCAGGATCCGCCAGAGCCGTCCAGCCAGGATCCGCCAGAGCCGTCTAGCCAGGATCCGCCAGAGCCGTCCAGCAAGGATCCGCCAGAGCTGTCCAGCCAGGATCCGCCAGAGCCGTCCAGCCAGGATCCGCCAGAGCCGTCCAGCCAGGATCCGCCAGAGCCGTCCAGCCAGGATCCGCCAGAGCCGTCCAGCCAGGATCCGCCAGAGCCGTCCAGCCAGGATCCGCCAGAGCCGTCCAGCAAGGATCCGCCAGAGCCGTCCAGCCAGGATCCGCCAGAGCCGTCCAGCCAGGATCCGCCAGAGCCGTCCAGCCTGGATCCGCCAGAGCCGTCCCGCCAGGATCCGCCAGAGCCGTCCAGCCTGGATCCGCCAGAGCCGTCCCGCCGGGATCCGCCAGAGCCGTCCAGCCGGGATCCGCCAGAGCCGTCCAGCCGGGATCCGCCAGAGCCGTCCACCTGGGATCCGCCAGAAGCGTCCAGCCGGGATCCGCCAGAGCCGTCCAGCCGGGATCCGCCAGAGCCGTCCAGCCGGGATCCGCCAGAGCCGTCCAGCCGGGATCCGCCAGAGCCGACCAGCCGGGATCCGCCATTCAGCCTGGTACTGCCCCTTAGTCCGGTGCTGCCCCTTAGTCAGGTACTGTCCCTTAGCCCGGTGCTGCCCCGTAGTCCGGTGCTGCCCCTTAGCCCGGTGCTGCCCCTTGTCCCGGTGCTGCCCCTTATCCCGGTGCTGCCCCTTATCCCGGTGCTGCCCCTTAGGCCGATGCTGCCCCTTAGTCCGGTGTTGCCCCTTAGTCCAGGTGGGGTTAGTTGGAGGGTGGTCATTGGGAGGAGGCTACCGAAGCAGGTTGTGACTGTGGTGGGGTGGGGATCACGACCGGGGCCAGAGCCGCCACCGTGGACAGACGCCCACCCAGACCCTCCCCTAGTCCTGATGTTGGTGCGCCCGGAGTTCGCACCTTTAGGGGGGGGGGTACTGTGACACTCTGGCTCTATGGACTTTATAATTGAGCCAGGGTTGTTCATTTTCATGTGTTTGGGTGTATTTCATTTGGTGGTGTTGGGGATGGGTGAGTTTCATTTTGTTTGTGTCTATGGTGATTGGTCTATGACTCCCAATCGGAGGTAACGAGTGTCAGCTGTCGGCTCGTTATCTCTGATTGGGAGCCATATATATTCTGTGTGTTTTCTCCTTTGTTTTGTGGGTTATTGTTTCCGTGTTGCTGTTAGTCTGTATCAGTATTTGAACTTCACGTATCGTCATTTGTTGTTTTCTTCGTGGTTGCTTTAAATAATAAAGTCATCATGTTCACTCGCAACGCTGCGCATTGGTCCGCTCCTTTTGACGATCGTGACAGGTCCGCTCACCAACCAAGAATTCACAAAATGGGACAAACACCAAATTGAGACTCTGCATGCAGAATTCTGCAAAAACATCCTCCGTGTACAACGTAAAACACCAAATAATGCATGCAGAGCAGAATTAGGCCAATACCCGCTAATTATTAAAATCCAGAAAAGAGCCGTTAAATTCTATAACCACTTAAAAGGAAGCGATTCACAAACCTTCCATAACAAAGCCATCACCTACAGAGAGATGAACTTGGAGAAGAGTCCCCTAAGTAAGCTGGTCCTGGTGTCAGAGTGCTGTGTGTGGATGAGTGTAGGGAATCAAGCGCAGGAACAAGGATGACTTCAACAGACTTTAGTAAATCCAATACAGGAAAAGAGTCGCCAACCCAACCGGGCGGCGCGAACAATAACGCACAACACACAGTGCGGAAAATAAGAAAAAGCGCACGCAGTGCGAACTCTCGAAAAATACAACAAACGAGAGAGAACAAACTCCTCGGAGGCAAGCTGACAAATACAATCACGCATAACACCTGACCCAAACAAACGAAACTAAATAGGGAACACAATCAAACACAAACAAGGGACAGGTGTTACAAAGAGACAAAACCAAACGAACATGAAACATAGAACGGTGGCAGCTAGTACTCCGGAGACGACGACCGCCGAAGCCTGCCCGAACAAGGAGGAGGAGCAGCCTCGGCCGAAACCGTGACAGTACCCCCCCCTTGACGCGCGGCTCCAGCCGTGCGCCGACCCGGGGCTCGGGGACGACCCGGACGACGCGGAGCAGGGCGCGCAGGATGACCCCGATGGAACTCGGTCAGCAGGGACTGGTCCAATATGTCCCTCCTTAGCACCCAGCACCGCTCCTCCGGGCCGTACCCCTCCCACTCCACGAGATATTGAAGACCCCCCATCCGGCGTCTCGAATCAAGGATGGACCTCACGGTGTACGCCGGAGCCCCCTCGATGTCCAACGGGGGCGAAGGAGTCTCCTCTATCTCATACTCCTGGAGTGGACCAGCTACCACCGGCCTGAGGAGAGACACATGGAACGAGGGGTTAATATTCCTATAGTCAATAGGCAGTTCTAACCTGTAACACACCTCGTTCAACCTCCTCAGGACTTTGAATGGCCCCACAAACCGCCGACCCAGCTTCCGGCAGGGCAGGCGGAGGGGCAGGTTTCTGGTCGAGAGCCAGACTCGATCTCCAGGTGCGTACACAGGCCCCTCACTGCGGTGGAGATCGGCGCTCGTTTTCTGCCGACGGATGGCCCGCTGCAGATGTACGTGGGCAGCGTTCCATGTTTCCTCCGAGCGCCGTACCCATTCATCCACCGCAGGGGCCTCGATCTGGCTCTCGTGCCAAGGTGCCAGAACCGGCTGGTACCCTAACACACACTGGAAAGGGGTTAGTTGGGTGGAGGAGTGGCGGAGAGAGTTCTGTGCCATTTCGGCCCACGGAACGTATCTCGCCCACTCCTCCGGCCGGCCCTGGCAATAAGACCTCAGAAACCTACCCACCTCCTGGTTAACACGTTCAACCTGCCCATTACTCTCCGGGTGGTAACCCGAGGTAAGGCTTACCGAAACCCCCAACCGTTCCATAAACGCTCTCCACACTCTGGAGGTGAACTGGGGGCCTCGGTCAGACACTATATCCTCGGGTACCCCGTAATGCCGGAAGACATGGGTAAACAGAGCCTCAGCGGTCTGTAGGGCAGTGGGTAGACCCGGCATGGGAAGGAGACGACAGGCCTTCGAGAACCGATCCACAACGACCAGGATGGTAGTATTCCCCTGTGAGGGGGGAAGGTTGGTAACAAAATCCACCGAGAGGTGGGACCAGGGTCGTTGTGGAATAGGCAGGGGTTGTAGCTTACCCCTGGGCAAATGTCTGGGCGCCTTACACTGGGCACACACCGAACAGGAGGAGACATAAATCCTCACATCCCTAGCTAACGTTGGCCACCAGTACTTCGTGCTAAGGCAGTGCACTGTCCGGCCGATACCCGGATGGCCAGAGGAGGGGGACCCACTGGACACTGTGGAGGACTTGGGTCGGTGCGTAACGCCCGCTCGATCTCGGCATCAACCTCCCACACCACCGGTGCAACCAGACAAGACTCTGGTAGTATGGGCGTGGGCTCAACGGACCTCTCCTCCGCGTCATACCGCAGAGACAGAGCATCTGCCTTCCCATTCTGGGACCCAGGGATGTACGTGATTTTAAACACAAACCGGGCTAGAAACATAGTCCAGCGGGCCTGGCGAGGATTCAGTCTCCTAGCTGCCCGGATGTACTCCAGGTTACGATGGTCAGTTAGAATGAGGAAAGGGTGTTGAGCCCCCTCGAGCCAATGCCGCCACACCTTTAGGGCCTGTACCACGGCTAACAGCTCCCTGTCTCCTACGTCATAATTCCGCTCCGCCGGACTGAGCTTTTTAGAATAAAACGCACAGGGACGGAGTTTAGGTGGTGTGCCAGAACGTTGGGAAAGAACGGCCCCTATACCGGCCTCTGACGCGTCCACCTCTACCTGGAAAGGTAAAGAGGGATCCGGATGCGCCAACACCGGCGCCGAGGTAAACAGGTCCTTCAGTCTCCCAAAAGCCCTGTCCGCCTCAGCTGACCACCGCAAGCGCACCGGACCCCCCTTTAACAGAGACGTTATGGGAGCTGCCACCTGTCCAAAACCCCGGATAAACCTCCGGTAATAATTTGCAAAACCCAAGAACTGTTTGCACCTCCTTCACAGTGGTTGGGGTCTGCCAATTACGCACAGCTGACACCCGGTCTACCTCCATCTTCACCCCTGACGCAGACAACTGGTAACCCAGAAAGGAGACCGACTTCTGAAAAAACAGACATTTCTCTGCCTTGACATATAGGTCATGCTCCAACAGCCTCCTCAATACTCGGCGCACCAGGGCTACATGCTCTGCTCGGGTAGGACTGTACACCAGAATGTCGTCGATGTACACGACTACTCCCTGTCCCTGCATGTCCCGGAAAATCTCATCGACGAAGGATTGGAAGACTGAGGGAGCATTCATTAACCCATATGGCATGACTAGATACTCGTAGTGTCCGGAAGTCGTGCTAAACGCTGTCTTCCATTCATCGCCCTCTCTAATGCGCACCAAGTTATATGCGCTCCTGAGATCCAATTTTGTAAAGAACTGCGCACCGTGCAGTGACTCCGTCATAGTCGCAATCAGAGGAAGTGGATAGCTGTACTTCACCGTAATCTGATTGAGACTGCGGTAATCAATACACGGGCGCAGACCTCCATCCTTTTTCTTCACAAAAAAGAAACTTGAGGAAGCGGGTGAAGTGGAGGCCCGTATGTATCCCTGTCTCAGAGACTCAGCGATGTACGTCTCCATTGCCTTCCTCTCCTCTTGAGACAAGGGATACACATGGCTCCGCGGGAGAGCTGCTCCTGACTGGAGATCTATCGCACAATCCCCCCGTCTATGAGGCGGCAGCTGCGCCGCCCTAGTTTTACTAAACACCAGTTTCAAATCCTCATACTCGGGGGGAATATGCAGTGCTGTCATTAGATTCGGACTTTCCACCGAGGTCGCCCCTATGGAAACACCCAGACACCGCCCCTCACACTGGGCAGACCACCCTTTAAGAGCTTTCTCTCGCCACATAATAGTAGGGTCATGGGTCATCAACCAGGGAAGGCCCAGCACTACCGGATACGCAGGAGAGTCAATCAGATAGAGCTGAATCGTCTCCTCATGACCCTCCTGCGCCATCATTTGAAGGGGTGCTGTGACCTCCCTAATCAACCCAGACCCTAACGGACGGCTATCTAGGGCATGAACAGGGAAAGGCTTATCAACTGGAAGGAGGGGAATCCCTAACTCTATGCAAAACTGGCGATCTACAAAATTCCCAGCTGCGCCTGAATCTACCAGCGCCTTATGCTGGGAACGAGGTGCAACCTGTGGAAAACAAACAGGCAAGGTTAGGTGAACGACAGAAAGCTCTGGGTAAGTAGGGCGCCTACTCACCTGGGGGGACCCCCCAATGCGTGACCTGCCTTCTCCTCCACCGGGGGACCCTCCCCAACACCTAGCCGCGGTGTGCCCTCCACGGCCACAGTTAGTGCAGGGAACGGCCCCCCTCGGGTTCCTACTCCTCCGTTCTCTAGCGCCAGCACCCCGAGCTCCATAGGGCTCGGCTCGGAGGTGCTGGAGAGTGGAATGGGCGAACCCCACCCGGGACGTCCACGGGTGGCGAGCAGGGTATCCAGCCGAATGGCCATGTCGACACGTTGGTCAAAGGTCAACGAGGTGTCCCTGCACGCCAACCCTCGCTGGACGTCCTCCCGGAGGCTGCAACGGAAGTGGTCTATAAGGGCCCGCTCATTCCACCCTGCATCGGCCGCTAGAGTCCGGAATTCCAAGGCAAAGTCCTGGGCGCTCCTCATCCCCTGTCGGAGGTAGAACAGACGCTCCCCCCGCCGCCTTCCCCTCTGGTGGGATGGTCAAACACAGCACGGAAGCGGCGGGAGAACTCCGCATAGGTAGTGGTAGCGGCGTCCATTCTCCTCCATTCGGCGTTGGCCCACTCCAACGCCTTGCCGGTGAGACAGGAGATGAGGGCTGAGACGCTCTCGTGTCCCGAGGGCGCCGGGTGTACGGTGGCGAGGTAGAGCTCCACTTGCAGCAGGAACCCTTGACACCCGGCAGCGGAGCCGTCGTACGCCCTCGGGAGCGAGAGCCGAATCCCACTGGGTTCCGGAGATGGGACAGGAGGACTGACCGATGGGGATGGTTTGGTAGGTGGGGTCGTGGGTACCCCGCTGGTTTCCCATCGGTGGAGAGTGTTCATCACCCCCCTCCAGGGCACGACAGACCTGGTTAATCCGGTCCTCCTGCCCACGAAGACGTTCCTCCATACCTGCTGTTGGCGCGGTCGCTCCTGCTGATTCCATGGAATGATGCGTGATTCTGTCAGAGTGCTGTGTGTGGATGAGTGTAGGGAATCAAGCACAGGAACAAGGATGACTTCAACAGACTTTAGTAAATCCAATACAGGAAAAGAGTCGCCAACCCAACCGGGCGGCGCGAACAATAACGCACAACACACAGTGCGGAAAACAAGAAAAAGCGCACGCAGTGCGAACTCTCGAAAAATACAACAAACGAGAGAGAACAAACTCCTCGGAGGCAAGCTGACAAATACAATCACGCATAACACCTGACCCAAACAAACAAAACTAAATAGGGAACACAATCAAACACAAACAAGGGACAGGTGTTACAAAGAGACAAAACCAAACGAACATGAAACATAGAACGGTGGCAGCTAGTACTCCGGAGACGACGACCGCCGAAGCCTGCCCGAACAAGGAGGAGGAGCAGCCTCGGCCGAAACCGTGACACCTGGGTCTCTGTTCACAAACACAAACAGACCCTACAGAGCCCCAGGACAACAACAACAACCACAACACAATTTGACCCAACCAAATCATGAGAAAACAAAAAGAGAATTACTTGACACATTGGAAAGAACAAACAAAGAAACAGAGCAAACTAGAAGGCTATTTGGCCCTAAACAGAGAGTACAAAAAACGATACATACCTCGGCCTAAACATCAGCGCCACAGGTAACTTCCACAAAGCTGTGAACGATCTGAGAGACAAGGCAAGAAGGGCCTTCTATGCCATCAAAAGGAACATAAATTTTGACATACCAATTAGGATCTGGCTAAAAATACTTGAGTCAGTTATAGAACCCCATTGCCCTTTTTGGTTCTGAGGTCTGGGGTCCGCTCACCAACAAAGAATTCACAAAATGGGACAAACACCAAAGTGAGACTCTGCATGCAGAATTCTGCAAAAACATCCTCCGTGTACAACGTAAAACACCAAATAATGCATGCAGAGCAGAATTAGGCCAATACCCGCTAATTATCAAAATCCAGAAAAGAGCCGTTAAATTCTATAACCACTTAAAAGGAAGTGATTCCCAAACCTTCCATAACAAAGCCATCACCTACAGAGAGATTAACTTGGAGAAGAGTCCCCTAAGTAAGCTTGTTCTGGGGCTCTGTTCACAAACACAAACAGACCCCACACAGCCCCAGGACAACAACAACAACAACAACAACAACACAATTAGACCCAACCAAATCATGAGAAAACAAAAAGAGAATTACTTGACACATTGGAAAGAACAAACAAAAAAACAGAGCAAACTAGAATGCTATTTGGCCCTAAACAGAGAGCACACAGTGGCAGAATACCTGACCACTGTGACTGACCCAAACTAAAGGAAAGCTTTGACTATGTACAGACTCAGTGAGCATAGCCTTGCTATTGAGAAAGGCCGCCGTAGGCAGACCTGGGTCTCAAGAGAAGACAGGCTATGTGCACACTGCCCACAAAATGAGGTGGAAACTGAGCTGCACTTCCTAACCTCCTGCCAAATGTATGACCATATTAGAGACACATATTTCCCCTCAGATTACAGCGATCCACAAAGAATTCGAAAACAAACCCAATTTTGATAAACTCCCTTATCTACTGGGTGAAAAACCACAGTGGTGCCATCACAGCTGCAAGATTTGTGACCTGTTGCCACAAGAAAAGGGCAACCAGTGAAGAACAAACACCATTGTAAATACAACCCATATTTATGTTTATTAATTTTCCCATTTGTACTAACTATTTGCACATTGTTACAACACTGTATATATACATAATATGACATTTGAAATGTCTTTATTCTTTTGGAACTTCTGAGTGTAATGTTTACTGTTAATATTTATTGTTTATTTCACTTTTGTTTACTATCTACTTCACTTGCTTTGGCAATGTTAACACACGTTTCCCATGCCAATAAAGCCCTTAAATTGAAATTGAAATTGAATTGAGAGAGAGAGAGAGAGAGAGAGAGAGGGAGGGGAGGGAGAGAGAGGGAGAGAGAGAGAGAGAGGAGAGAGAGAGCGAGAGAGGAGAGAGAGAGAGAGAGGAGGGAACGAGATGGAGAGCGAGGAGAGAGAGAGAGAGAGAGAGAGAGGAGGAACCGAGAGAGAGAGGGGGGAGAGGAGAGAGGAGGAGAGAGAGCGGCGAGAGAGCGGACAGACGCGAGAGAGAGAGAGAGAGAGAGAGAGAGAGAGAGCGAAGAGAGGAGAGAGAGAGGGAGGGACGAGAGAGAGGAGCGAGAGAGAGAGAGAGAGAGAGAGAAGAGAGAGAGCGGAGAGAGAGAGACGAGAGAGAGAGAGAGAGACAGACAGAGAGAGAGAGGACAAGCAGGAGTAGAGACAAGAGAGAGAGCGAGAGAGAGAGAGAAGAGAGAGAGAGAGAGAGAGGAGAGATAGAGAGAGAGAGGAGAGCGAGAGAGCGACAGAGAGGAGAGATAGGACAGGACCAGAGAGATAGAGACAGAGATGAGAGAGCGAGAGAGAGATGAGAGAGAGAGAGAGAGGAGAGAGCGCGGAGGGAGAGAGTGAGGCACAGCCTTGCCATTGAGAAGGTAGACACAGGAACAACCCGGCTCCGTCGAGGAAAGGCTGTGCAAACCATCGCACACAGCAGAACTTGAGACGAGCTGCATTTCATGACAAAATGTCAAAAGATTTAAAAACAATGTAGAGAGTTCATTTCCCCAAAAATTGAAATACTTATTCAAGGGTTTTAAAGAACCTCTCTGCTGAGGATAGGTACCCATCCTTGGGGGGGACGCCAGAGAGCTGTGGGTTGGCAGCGCACTACATTATGCCTTTGCCATACAGTTGAGGGACGTGTCTGACCGACCAATAAACCTGACATTCCTCAAAACTGTATGCTTATTGCTATTGTGAAATGATGGTTATATTGACCGTGTTATTGTTGTTAATGTTGTCCGTTGACAATTTGATTCTCATTTTTATTTATTTTTTATCTTGTAACTATCCAAAGTAAGCTTGGCAATCGTTACATTGTTACGTCATGCCCATAAGCGAATTGAATTGAATTGCATTGATTGAGAGAGAGAGCGCGAGAGCGAGGGAGAGAGAAGAGAGAAAGAGAGAGAGGGAGAGAGAAGAAGAGAGAGCGAGAGAGAGGGAGAGAGAGAGAGATAGAGAGAGAGAGAGAGAGGAGGAACGAGAGACAGAGAGAGGAGGAACGAGAGGGAGGAGGAAAGAGAGAGAGAGCGAGAGAGAGAGCGAGAGTAGAGAGAGAGAGAGAGCAGAGAGAAGAGAGAGACGAGGATAGAAAAGTTTGAGTTTCTGAGATTCAAAGCTTCCTAAACATCTCCACAAATCCTCTCAGAACTTATAGTTCAATCAGCTGTTTATTTCAGGAGCCGCAGCAGCCTAGAGACCATAATCATCTTCAAAGATTCCTTTAAACACATAGCTGGCAGGTAGCTTAGTGGGTAAGAGCATTGTGCCAGTAACCGAAAGGTCGCTGGTTCTAAGCCCCGAGCCGACTAGGTGAAAAATCTGTTGATGTGCCCTTGAGCAAGGCACTTAACCCTAACTGTTCCTGTAAGTCGCTCAGGATAAGAGCGTCTGCTAAATGACTAAAATGTAAAAATGTGTAGCACACAACAGCCACACACACAGTAACTAGGGTAACACACATGCATCATTAAACTACTTATCTTCAAACACACAAGCAGGCTAACAGTGAAAATGTCATGATACTACTGGACTATATCCAGGGAAGAATCATGATTATGGCTGTCCGGCCCGGTTTAGGCCTAGATTCAATCAGATCAAGCGTTAACAGGCGATAGCCGACACCCGCGTAGCTGATGTTTTGGGGTGTCACCATAACTGCGTTGGAGCCGTCAAATCGTTGAGGAGCTGCTCTTGATCATTGTCATGAAGCCACACCCATCCCACTCGCGTTAGAAGTTCAGAAGAGAAAGTGTACGTAGAAATAATGACGCTCAAATTAAAAAATCATTCAACAAAGTAATGAGGATTTCTATCAACCTAGTTAAGGTGTAGATTATATTTCACATTCCAGCGTTTGAACTTGTAAACGTGTCTGCATGGGATTTCTCTTAAAGGGATACTTCGGGATTTTGGCAATGAGGCCCTTTATCTACTTCCCCAGAGTCAGATGAACTCATGGATACCATTTTTGTGTCTCCGTGTCCCGTATGAAGGAAATTAAGAGGTAGTTTCGCGAGCCAATGCTAACTAGAGTTAGCGCAATGACTGGAAGTCAATGGGTATCTGCTAGCATGCTATATAGCCTCCTACATATAGTGAACATTTTCTCTGCAGAATTAGATTGCTGTTAAACATTCTGAATGGTTTCATCCTTCCAACTAAAAGTCCCAATACGACATATCACATTAAATCGTTTCTTTTTATTGGCCAGTCTGAGATTTGGCTTTTTCTTTGCAACTCTACCTAGAAGGTCAGCATCCCGGAGTCGCCTCTTCACTGTTGACATTGAGACTGGTGTTTTGCGGGTACTATTTAATGAATCTTGAATGCTTTTCGGTTAAAACCACATTCCAGCGGGTGTCTATTTCTCAATTTACCACCGGCTAAATTTATGACTTTAAAATGTCTATGTGACCCTCTTACATGAGAGCCGTTTGAACGTAAACCTTTAAAAAAAAAATCTAAATGTTTTTTTGGGCTGGAAATGCCTTCTCGAACATGTGAACTTTCATGTGCCTTAATAAAAAACTTGAATGCTATCTGTAAATACTAATACAATCATTAAATTAAGAGCCTAGTTGGTTTAGCCAAAGAAGAAGACAGCAACCTTCCCGCTAGCCATGATTGGCTGAGATAATGAGTGGGCTGGACATGCCGAGAGATGAGTTTGGATTGGTCTGCCATATAGAACGCTTATGTATATTTGAGCTGGTCAGTATGTCTAGGTAATCCTGTCTAATGTGGCTTTTTTAAGAACGTATTCTGATTTAAAACTGCATAAGTGTTACTCTCCACTTTATGGAGGACCGAGTTTTGAAATCAGTGGAATTCGAGTATGATAGCTAAGGAGATGGAGAAAATACCTGTCTCCGGATTACAACTTCAAAGTAAGGGCAACCATGGCATCCGACAGGAGACACGTCCATCCATGAATGATGTATATTGGTAAGATAGTCTAGCGAGCTACATTTTCAGATATTACACGTTTCTAATTTTGACAGAAAGATACATTTTCTTCACAAGATATAGCCTATTGTTAGCTAGCTAACATTGAACCTTGTTGGTTAGCTACCTGCAGATTCATGCAGGGTAGTAACATCATGAGTTGTGATTATGGTTAATTGTTTACCTAGCTAGCTAGCTAACGTTAGCTGTCTGGCTGGCTCGCTAGCTAACGTTACATTAATTATTTTATTATTCGCATCTCAGAGCCATTTGCTTAGCTAGCTATAGCCTAATGTTAGCTAGCTAACATTAAACCTGGTTGGTTAGCTATCTGCAGATTCATGCAGGGTAGTAACATCGTAAAATGGGATCTATGTTATTGTATTTCTATGTTGGATTCTAGTAGTTGTATTTCTATGTTTGGCCGGGTGTGATTCCCAATCAGAGGCAGCTGTCGCTCGTTGTCTCTAATTGGGTATCATACTTAGGTAGCCTGGTTGCCTACCTTAGTTGTGAGATCAGGGTGGTGTTGTCTATAAATGTCATGATCGTTGAGAGACAGTCTGTTTGAGCTTCACGTTTCGTTGTTTTGTTATTTTGTCAAGTGTTTATTCGTATTAATAAACATGTACGCATACCACGCTCCACCTTGGTCTGACCTGTCTCTCAACGATCATGACATTCATAGACAACACCACCCTGTATTTGTATTATAGATCCCCATTAGCTGCTGCCAAGGCAGCAGCTACTCTTCCTGGGGTCCAGCAAAAATAAGGCAGTTCATACAATTTTAAAAACATTACAATACATTCACAGATTTCACAACACACTCAGGCCCCTACTCCACTACTACCACATATCTACAGTACAACAATCCATGTGTACGTGTGTGTATAGTGCGTATGTTATCGTGTGTGTGTATGCATGTGTCTGTGCCTATGTTTGTGCTTCACAGTCCCAGCTGTTCCATAAGGTGTATTTTTATCTTTAGCATCAGTTACTTGATGTGGAATAGAGTTCCATGTAGTCATGGCTCTATGTAGTACTGTGCGCCTCCCATAGTCTGTTCTGAACTTGGGGACTGTGAAGAGACCTCTGGTGGCATGTCTTGTGGAGTATGCATGGGGTGACCGAGCTGTGCGCCAGTAGCTCAAACAGACTGATCGATGCACCCAACATGTCAACACCTCTCATAAACACAAGCGGTAAATAAGTCGATCTCTCCTTCACTTTGAGCCAGGAGAGATCGACATGCATGTATCTGCACCCTCTTTTTCCTTACCATCATAGGATACACAGCCAAACACATACACAAAGTTTTACAGACAACCCATGGTCTCCAAACCCTCTTTTACCATACCAAGCAAAAGACAACACAGGAAAGATGACTCCTGACTCCTGTATCTTCAATACAGTGTTGTATATTGTCCAGTGGGTTGGATATTGTCATATCCTACCCACTTCCTATAGAGGTTAGCAAAGCAGAGAGAGCCAAAGAGAAAGAGTGAGACAGAGACCGAAAGAGAGAGTGATAAAGAGACATACTGCGATAGAAGGATAGCGAGAGGAATAAAAAGATGGACAGACAGACAGACAGACAGACAGACAGAGAGAGAGAGAGAGAGAGAGAGAGAGAGAGAAGAGCAGAGAGAGAAGAGAGAGAGAGAGAGAGAGAGAGAGAGAGAGAGGAGAGAGAGAGAGAGAGGAGAGAGAGAGAGAGAGGAGAGAGAGAGGACAGAGAGAGAGAGAGAGAGAGGAGAGAGAGAGGACAGACAGACAGACAGACAGACAGACAGACAGACAGACAGACAGACAGACAGACAGACAGACAGACAGACAGACAGACAGACAGACAGACAGACAGACAGACAGACAGAGAGAGGGAGAAATACAGAAAGAGTGAGACAGAGACTAGTGTCTCCAGTCCTAACACTAGTGTCTCCAGTCCAAACACTAGTGTCTCCAGTACTAACGCTAGTGTCTCCAGTCCTAACGCTGATGTCTCCAGTCCTAACGCTGATGTCTCCGGTCCTAACGCTAGTGTCTCCAGTCCTAACGCTAGTGTCTCCAGTCCAAACACTAGTGTCTCCAGTCCTAACACTAGTGTCTCCAGTACTAACGCTAGTGTCTCCAGTCCTAACGCTGATGTCTCCAGTCCTAACGCTGATGTCTCCGGTCCTAACGCTAGTGTCTCCAGTCCAAACACTAGTGTCTCCAGTCCTAACACTAGTGTCTCCAGTCCAAACACTAGTGTCTCCAGTCCTAACACTAGTGTCTCCAGTCCTAACGCTGATGTCTCCAGTCCTAACGCTGATGTCTCCGGTCCTAACGCTAGTGTCTCCAGTCCTAACGCTAGTGTCTCCAGTCCTAACGCTGATGTCTCCAGTCCTAACGCTGATGTCTCCGGTCCTAACGCTAGTGTCTCCAGTCCTAACGCTAGTGTCTCCAGTCCTAACACTGATGTCTCCGGTCCTAACGCTAGTGTCTCCAGTCCTAACGCTAGTGTCTCCAGTCCTAACGCTAGTGTCTCCAGTCCTAACGCTGATGTCTCCGGTCCTAACGCTAGTGTCTCCAGTCCTAACGCTAGTGTCTCCAGTCCTAACGCTAGTGTCTCCAGTCCTAACGCTAGTGTCTCCAGTCCTAACGCTAGTGTCTCCAGTCCTAACGCTAGTGTCTCCAGTCCTAACGCTGATGTCTCCGGTCCTAACGCTAGTGTCTCCAGTCCTAACGCTAGTGTCTCCAGTCCTAACGCTAGTGTCTCCCTACCTAATGCTAATGTCGCCAAACCTAACACTAGTGTCTCCAAACCTAACACTAGTGTCTCCAAACCTAACACTAGTGTCTCCAAACCTAACACTAGTGTCTCCAAACCTAACACTAGTGTCTCCAAACCTAACACTAGTGTCTCCAAACCTAACACTAGTGTCTCCAAACCTAACGCTAATGTCTCCAAACCTAACACTAGTGTCTCCAAACCTAATGCTAGCTAGGCTAATGTGAGTCCTAATGACAGTCAGTCTATGACTTGCGACACCAGCCATGTCTGGGACTAATGGTCCGTACACTCGCTGTAGTTTATCCTCCTGAATGGATAATGGTCTCCTGTGTGTCATTATCCTCCTGTATGGATAATGGTCTCCTGTGTGTCATTATCCTCCTGTATGGATAATGGTCTCCTGTGTGTCATTATGATAACTAGACCTGACCTGCCACTCTGTGGGCTGGCACTCTGGAGAGAGGTAGAGATAGAGAGAGGAGAGGAGAGGAGAGGAGAGGAGAGGAGAGGAGAGGAGAGGAGAGGAGAGGAGAGGAGAGGAGAGGAGAGGAGAGGAGAGGAGAGGAGAGGAGAGGAGAGGAGAGGAGAGGAGAAGAGACATATTGAAATAACTGACACATAAAGAAGAAGAAGAAGAAACACGTGAAGAATCAGTGAGTGAAGTTCACATTTAAGCCTTCCCCAAACCATAGTCATAACCTTAACCACTCAGAATTAATACCTTAACTTAACCCTTTGAGTTGTTTCTGTTTTTAACCCTGTAACCACGTGGAATTAACCCCGTAACCAAGCGTAATGAATGCGTTAAAAAAATAGACGTTCATCCATAATACGTTGAATTTTGAAGAATAACTATGAGCTCTTGTTGCTTTCAATAGGCTTCATAAATAACCATTGGTTTTACTGTCAGTCTCAGATCCCCAGTGACTTTACATTAATGCTTCTTTGGTGACTGAAAAACGGTTTTATGTATCAGCTACACCAACCACTCTGTCAACTAATTTTGCAACTATGATGTTGTGATATCCAAGGCTATCAATTACTCGTGTCACACACAGGCATTTATGCACGCACAGGCCACATGAATTCAAGAACGCACGCATACACACACACACACACACGTGATTATTGACAGCAGAGACCTATCACTTTCTCTCTAAGTGTGTGTACATTTACCGACTTCCAGTGTGTGTGTGTGTGTTTGTGTGTGTGTGTGTGTGTAGGTACAGACTTACAGACCTTTTTAATTCCCTCCAGCTAAAGGTCAGCCGTCAGACAGTATAGAGCCAGCCTAAAGGTGAAGGAAACATGAAATACCGTCAATAATCAACCGTAAAGCACTGACCAGCCGCATGTTAACTGTCAGCCCACAGACACACTGGAAACCCTCCTGGCACAAAATGGTCCCCGACCTTTACGTCCGCTTCTCACCATAGGTGTTGGGTCACTGTCAGACCACAAAGACTGTGGAAGCTGATGTGCGGTGAGCCCTCTGGCACAAAATGGCTTCTGAGCTTCACCCAAGGAAATTGGTGGTTGTGTGGCTGTGTGGCCGCTAATCACCAGTGGTGGGTGATCTGAAGATGCGGGAAAGCAGCTTAGAATGCTTGGCAGCACTTCACATTAAATTGTTTTTTTAAATAAAGTACTGTACAAACCAGTGGAATAACATAGTATTTGTATCCATCTATGAATAACATTCATTTTTTTGATGAGAAATATGTAACAAATACCTGGTAAAAATGAATGACATGCTATTATTGTTTAAATATGTTGCAATGATACCTAATGTAAAGGAAAGTGTAGCTGATTGCTTTAGAAAATGATAAAAAACGATATTCCAGAAGTCCATTTCTTCATCACTCATAACAAATACATAATTTCAGAGCACTAACAGAAGATTTTCAACTGAAAACTAAAGAGTTTAATGTTTAATTTACCCCAACTGATTAGCCATGCATCAGTGAGCATATCAATGAAACATGCTACAGAGCCAAGGAACTGTGCTCAACAACCTTTCTCAAACTCCCCAGATACACACACACACACACACACACACACGCACACACACACAACACACACACACACACACACACACACACACACACACACACACACACACACCACACACACACACACACACACACACACACACACACACACACACACACACACACACACACACACACACACACACACACACACACACACACACACACACACATACACACACACACACACACACACACACACAAAGCATACACACACACACACACACACGCTGGGTGTGTGTCAGGGCTTTATAGTCCCTGAAGCCTCGTCCCACACCACCTTAGCAGGACGACAGCCTGAGCTTTTGAAGGTTCACATGATCTGAACAATGCAAAGTGTTGCAAAGAACCCCATTTTTTCAAGTTCTTTTCAGGTAGTTCTGCCTTGCATCCACAGTCTTCTCCTTTCATCCAGTCACTGGCATCCCAAACGCTATGCCCGCTGGACACATCAGTTCAACGTCTAGTTTTGGTTTACATTTGGTTGAGTTCAATGAAATCAATGTGAAATCAACAAAACATGTCATTGGATTTAGGTGAAAAGGTTTTATGAAAAAAATACTAAGTTCCCTTACGTTGATTACTGTATTCAAATCCAATCAGTTGATGTTGATTCGGCATACTCTTTTGTTGAAATGATGTTGAAACAATAGTGATTCAACCCGTTTTTGCCCAGTGGATGGCTGCATATCAGAGCGTTTGTTTCTCTGGTTCCATGTCTGCTCTGTTCATATCAGAATATTTGTTTCTCTGGTTCCCTGTCTGCTCTGTTCATATCAATATGTTTGTTTCTCTGGTTCCCTGTCTGCTCTGTTCATATCATAATATTTGTTTCTCTGGTTCCCTGTCTGCTCTGTTCATATCAATATGTTTGTTTCTCTGGTTCCCTGTCTTCTCTGTTCATATCAGAATGCTTGTTTATCCGATTCCCTGCCAGTGCTGCTGGAAGGGACAGGCGGCTCAGTCTGAAGACCAGAGAGACACAGAGAGAGTCAGGGGTCACAAAGAGAGTCATGGGGTCACAAAGAGAGTCAGTAGTCACAGAGAGAGTCAGGGGTCACAGAGAGAGTCAGGCGTCACAGAGAGAGTCAGGCGTCACAGAGAGAGTCAGGCGTCACAGAGGGAGTCAGAGGTCACAGAGAGAGTCAGGGGTCACGGAGAGAGTCAGAGGTCACGGAGAGAGGCATGGGTCACGGAGAGAGTGAGGGGTCACAGAGAGAGTCAGGGGTCACAGAGAGAGTAATTTGATGATAAAGAAGCATTTTCGGTAACCCTTCCTTTTAAGGGTCCTCATCACAGTGTAATTACACGTGTAATTGTAGTATTGCAGTTAACTGTAACGACTCATAGTTACAATGTAATAACAACATATACCTGGTAGTAATTACAGTCTGTAATTACAGAAGCTTAACAACGAATGCTTGTTACAAATTGGCAGGTTTCCACTAAATTTCACCGACTTATTGTTTCGCTTCTTCTCTGCCGCATCGGATTAATTAACAACTGTGACAAAAGGTTGGGATCCGTTGTGTTTGCGCTGGGTCTCTGAGAGATTATAGCCTGCGCTCAATAGGCTCTTAATTACTTAACCATGAATGTGCACTGTTCAAAATACACCTCCAGTCAACGTTGTTGCTAGCACTTGCCTCCAAAATAAAGCGTACAATCTGGGTTGACTTGGTTGAGTTTTACGAAAACAGACTTAATTCGGGGTGTCATCCCAGATGAGGAATAAGACACTATTTCAAAGCATAGTACATGTAATGTTTGCCTAAGTACAATTAAATTACTATTTGTTATGCAGGATTTATCTAGTTAAAATGAAGTGTGTCTTGCAGGGTACGTACTTGTAACTAATGTGTGCTTATACAGTACATTACCAATCCTGACAACCTGGCTCTCATTTTTAAGTTTCCGGAATCGCCATCTAAGTTGGAGGATAAACACCATAGCAGATGTAATATTCACATAAGGACAATGTAATTACTAGTTGTTACATAGGATTTAGCTAGTTTAAATTAAGTGTATCTTTAGGGGTACTTACTTGTAGTTATAGTGTATCTACAAGTATGTTACCCATCCTGACAATAATAATAATAATAATAATATGCCATTTTAGCAGACGCTTTTATCCAAAGCGACTTACAGTCATGTGTGCACACATATTTACGTATGGGTGGTCCCGGGGATCGAACCCACTACCCTGGCGTTACAAGCGCCATGCTCTACCAATTGAGCTACAATCTAATTGTCAGCTTCTAAAAGCGCATTCAATTGATATTTAAACACACCACTACACCACAGAGTACATGTAATATCTGTGTAAATACAATGTAGTTACTAGGTGTTGTACAGGATTTAGAAACTTCTGTATAAATACTTAAGGCCTACTACTCATTACCAAGTGAAAATACAGTACCTACCAAACAATAAATGAGCTTCTACTTTATTCAACTGTATTGCAACGTGTAAAAATACCTTACATTAAAAATAAAAAAATAAGGGATTTCTTACAAAAAAAAAATAATAAGAATTTTTAGATTAATCATGTGATTAATTAGATATAACATAAAAACAACGATTCTAGTGGTGACTCAAATCTGTAGCCTACAGAATGGTGAGTAGCCTAGATAGATAATTTAGAGCGAGCAGCCTAGATAGATAATTAAGAGCGAGTAGCCTAGATAGATAATTTAGAGTGAATAGCCTAGATAGATAATTTAGAGCGAGCAGCCTAGATAGATAATTTAGAGTGAGTAGCCTAGATAGACAATTTAGAGTGAATAGCCTAGATAGATCATTTAGAAAAACGGTCCTTCTCTCCCCTTTTTAACATTACAAGTAACCATGGAAATCAACAACTCTGTCTTCATATGTTTCTTTCTTGTAAGCATTTTCCCATCCTGGCTTCGTCAATAAGTGCATCGATGATGTCGTCCCCACAGTGACCGTACGTACATACCCCAACCAGAAGCCATGGATTACAGGAAACATCCGCACTGAGCTAAAGGGTAGAGCTGCCGCTTTCAAGGAGCGGGACTCTAACCCGGACGCTTATAAGAAATCCCGCTATGCCCTCCGACGAACCATCAAACAGGCAAAGAGTCAATACAGGACTAAGATTGAATCGTACTACACTGGCTCTGACGCTCGTCGGATGTGGCAGGGCTTGAAAACTATTACAGACTACAAAGGGAAGCACAGCCGCGAGCTGCCCAGTGACACAAGACTTCCAGACGAGCTAAACCACTTCTATGCTCGCTTCGAGGCAAGCAACACTGAAGCATGCATGAGAGCACCAGCTGTTCCGGATGACTATGTGATCACGCTCTCCGTAGCCGATGTGAGTAAGACTTTTAAGCAGGTCAACATTCACAAGGCCGCAGGGCCAGACGGATTACCAGGACGTGTACTCCGAGCATGTGCTGACCAACTGGCAAGTGTCTTCACTGACATTTTCAACATGTCCCTGACTGAGTCTGTAATACCAACATGTTTCAAGGAAACCACCATAGTCCCCGTGCCCAAGGACTCTAAGATAACCTGCCTAAATGACTACCGACCCGTAGCACTGATGTCTGTAGCCATGAAGTGCTTCGAAAGGCTGGTCATGGCTCACATCAACACCATTATCCCAGAAACCCTAGACCCATTCCAATTTGCATACCGCCCCAACAGATCCACAGATGATGCAATCTCTATTGCACTCCACACTGCCCTTTCCCACCTGGACAAGAGGAACACCTACGTGAGAATGCTATTCATTGACTACAGCTCAGCATTCAACACCATAGTGCCCTCAAAGCTCATCACTAAGTTAAGGATCCATGGACTAAACACCTCCCTCTGCAACTGGATCCTGGACTTCCTGACGGGCCGCCCCCAGGTGGTAAGGGTAGGTAACAACACATCTGCCACACTGATCGTCAACACGGGGGCCCCTCAGGGGTGCGTGCTCAGTCCCCTCCTGTACTCCCTGTTCACCCATGACTGCATGGCCAGGCACGACTCCAACACCATCATTAAGTTTGCCGACGACACAACAGTGGTAGGCCTGATCACCGACAACGATGAGACAGCCTATAGGGAGGAGGTCAGAGACCTGGCCGTGTGGTGCCAGGACAACAACCTCTCCCTCAACGTGACCAAGACAAAGGAGATGATTGTGGACTACAGGAAAAAAAAGAGGACTGAGCACGCCCCCATTCTCATCGACGGGTCTGTAGTGGAACAGGTTGAGAGCTTCAAGTTCCTTGGTGTCGCAGGATGTTTTTTTTGCAAGATGTATCATATCATACGAAATGGATGACATAGTACACAATTTGACGATGTAGTACACAAAAAATGGGGACCACTTTTGGTTCATGAGCATCACTTTCAAAACTGCTGGCTGAAATTATAAAAAAGTTTGAGAGTGCATCTTTAAGTCAGAAAATATTTTAAAGTACCACTTAATCTTTAAAGACGGATAATCGTCTCTGTGATGCTGTTGCGGCTCCTGAAATAAACAGCTAGCAGATAGAACATTGGATTCTGAGAGGATTTTTGTGGAGTTATTTAGGAGGCTTTGAACCTCAGCACAAACCTTTTCTCTTTTGTTAGTCTAAGTATCAAAACAATTTAGACAGACGTTTTGATTAGTTATCTTATTTTTTTTTTTAAACACTTGGGAAATGGGTAATATTATTACTTAATGAAACAGCTATCAGTCTTCATAAAATATAATTAAATCTCTTCCCATTATTGTATTATTTTTTTGGAAATTACTTCTGGTTGATGATAAATGACTGTTTATTTGGTCAGAGACGCTGCAGCTCCAGTCGGTTCAGATTCATAGTAATGCTCTTTTCCTTCAGCACAATACAACTGGTTACTGGGGACTAAATTCACTGAGCGAATTATGGGGGGCAATTACTACCAGGTGACAGAACAAGCATGTATAGTGTAGAGAATCATTGTACCATCTAAACTGCTGTGAAATATATTTTCCATAACCAAAACTATTGTATTTTCAGCTGTTTGAAGCTGGTGTACAACACCGAAAGCAAACAATGTGAAGAATAGACAATTTGTACATAGAACAGATCTACTGCTTCTTAGACTTGCTTTCAATGAGAATGACAGATCTATAACTCACATTTCTATGTGCATTTTGGTCACCAAAAAAAGTTACATATTGCAGCTTTAAACCAATGACAGTTGGTTCAGAATCTTTCAATTACATCTCTCTCTCTGTATGTTTTGAGCTTTTGCTATCAAAAGGTCTAGCCTGATAGCAAACTTGCAACATTGTTTCAACTGGTCCCTCAGAGTATCCTGTGCTAATAGGCTCCGGACAGACACAGCTGTATTTGC